ACTGTGCACCAATGTGATTTAATCGAAATACCATATGATGAAGATGTGGATACAGATTTACTAGATGATGGTCCAATATATTACTATGTACTATTGGTTATAGACTGCGCGACTAGATATAAAGATTTCGTTTTTTTAACATCAAAGAGCAGTGAGGAAGTTGCGGAAGCATTTAAGAGTATATATAATAATCCCGATAAGCCTCTCAACTGGCCTCGAAAATTGCAATGTGATAAGGGCACTGAGTTTATGGGATACGTAACTTTATTAATGGATGAACATGGCGTTGAGATCCGAAGAATTATAGCACGTTTCAGGCATACAAGCTTGGCTATGGTCGACCGTTATGCTGGATTATTCGAATTAAGAGTTTTTAAAAATCAGTATTCAATAGAGTTTCTCCTACCTACTGGTAAGCGCTGTAGAGAATGTGAACGATTTGCAAGGAGAATTGTTGATAATATGAATGATACTCCAACCCAGCTAATTGGAATGAGTCCTAATGATGCCACAAAGCTTGAGCGGATATATTCCAAACCATCTGTAAAATATAATCGCCCAATAGGTATTGATGAACCACAACTACTAAAGAGTACTACTGTCCGATTCTTGCTTGCTCCTGGAGAATGGGAAAATGATCCTTTCAAAAGACGCAGAATAACAGATCCGATATGGTCTCCTAGCCTACATAAGATCCAGAGAATTGTTGTTGGAAAGAATCCTTCCATGCCTGTTTTATATTACTTAGATGAATCAGGACCTCAACGCCCTTTTGTGAGAGAGCAATTGATGCATATTAAGGAAAAGCCCATGTTACCTCCTAGGTGGGTATTGGGAGATAACCAAATGCATACAAGGCGCCCCTTATAAAAGTTTCTAAATCTACTACACAGTAAGGGATTGTAATAAGGATTACTCCTTCCCGATGACATAACGCTCTCTTTTCCCAATCAAGCCAGATTTGTGCGTCTAGATTCATCTGAACTTGTGGGTGAAAAAAAGGGACAATTTGGTAATGTTGATTGCCACTATATTCAAAGGCCAAGCCTAACTCTTCATTGTATCCATCTAGATGTAATCCCTCCAAGAATTTAGGCTTTCGGGGTGGAAATTTTTTATGTAATAAATCCTCAAATATATACCGGCATGTTCTTTCTGGTATATTAGGACAAATATTGCACCATCTATAATTCT